CTCTGCTCCCCCTCGCCAAGCATGAACAAGGAGTGATCGGCCGTTGAGGGAGTGAAGCCGATCCCCTCCAACACTTCGCGCAGCTTCATGTACCATTGCCTAGGGGCCTGCTTCAGCCCATAGAGGGCCTTCTTCAGCTTCCACACTCTGCCACTACCATCATCAAACCCCTCTGGCTGCGCCATAAAAATCTCCTCCTCAAGGATGCCGTTAAGGAATGCCGTTACGATGTCCATTTGCTTTACTACCCATCCTTTGATGGCGGCTCCCGCGAATAGGGTTCGCAGCGTCGTCGGCTTCACCACAGGGGCAAACAGCTCCTTGAAGTCCACCTTCTCCTTCTGCTGGTACCCCTTGGCTACAAGCCTAGACTTGTAGCGCTCGATCTTGCCGTCGGCATCCGACTTGATTTTGAAGAGCCACTTGGACGTTATCGCCGTACGCCCCTCCGGTAGCCCCACCAATTCAAACGTGTCATTCTCCTCGATGCTCTTCAGCTCACTCTCCATGGCCTTCTTCCACTCCTCAGCATCACTACTCTCCAAAGCCTCCTTGAGAGTTGCTGGTTCTCCCGGCATCTCCACCGGAGAGAAGAACGCGAAGGCACACTCCTCGTAGTCACTCTCCTCGTCGTCTCCGACCATCATTGCCGCTCCGGCCAGGGCTGTCTTGCCCTGCTTTCCCGGCGCATCATAGGTCAGCCTATTAGGGGGTTGAACTCTCCTCTTCCCCCTTCCTTCCTCCTCAGCTGCAGGGACTTGAAGGCCTTGGCGTTGCTGCGGTGTGGCTCGAATCCGTGGAGCACTCGTAGTACGGGAAGGGAGTGACGGTGCACGCTCGCTCACTTGCTGCACCTCCTCCTCTTCTTCCTCTGCATCATTGGCCTCCTCTCCCCCATTCACAAGGGAGGATTGCCTTGTGGTTGTGCTGCCGCTGCTCAGCTCCAAAGGCAGCTCCACATGCTCCAAACCGGAACTCTTCACCTCCCCAAACCGCACGCCTATCTTCGCCTCATTCTCCGCCTTCCAATCCTTGTACATGAAGTTCTCCATGAACTTGCAGTCCCTGCTCACCAAGAACTTCTTGGTGAATGGGTCCCAAAGAAGCCATCCCTTGCTGTTTTGAGCCATGCCCAAGTGCACGGCCCACACCGCCTTGGCACCAAGCTTGTTGTGCCGAAGATGCTTAGGCACGAGCGCCATGCACATGCACCCGAACACCCGAAGCATATCCACCTTTGGCTTCCTTCCTAGCCACTCCACATAGGGCACCCATTTGTCTGCTCCCACATGAGTCAAGGCTCTGTTCTTGGCCACACACGCGCTCCGCACCGCATCAGGCCAGAAATAGTCGGGTAGCCCGGCTTCAATGAGCAACCCGCGTGCCGCCTCCGTGATTGTGCGGTTCGCTCGCTCGGCGATGCCGTTCATTGCAGGGGAGTATGGCATGGTGAGGGAGTGCCGAATACCATTCTTCTTCAGCCACAACCCAAACTCCTTGCTCAGGAACTCTCCCCCTCGATCGGTGCGGATTGACTTGACTAGACGGTCTTGTTGCCGCTCCACCATCGGGAACCAATCCGTCTTCAACGTTTCAGCCACGTCGCTCTTCTTGGCCAGCACGTACACCCAAGTCATGCGGGTGTAGACGTCGACAATGGTGAGAAAATACTCAGCTCCAGCAGCTCCAAGCTTCAGGGGGCCCACCACGTCAATCACCACCTCATCAAGCGGTGCCTTTGCCGTTGCCTCCGAACTAGGGAACGGAAACCGGGTGAACTTGGCTTGAATGCACGTCGGGCAGCCAAGCACCTCATCGGGCTCCCCCTTCACACGTATGCCAGCAACCATCTCATTCTTCACTAGCTGCTGCAAGATGGGCAGGGCCACATGCCTTGGATTGGAGAATGCCGCGCTCGCAATAGCGCCCCACATACTCTCTCCGTAGTCCTCCTCCGCTGCTGCCTCTGGGTTCTCCTCACCCTTTTGCTGCTCCTTGGTTGCTGCACCACTCTCCTTAGGTTCACTGAACTTGCTGGTCCCTCCAGGTTTGCTCTTCTTGAGCTCATTCTCCTTAGCGCGACCGTTCGCGCCATCGTCGCTACCGACCGCTCCATCCTTGGTGCTGATGCTTGCTGCCACTTGCCTCTCCTTAGGCATAGGGACCACTGGGATCTGCCACATCTCGTTGTAGACATCCCTGTCCTCATGAAGGTCCCGAAGAATTCGATCGCCAAGCCTTGCGGTGTAGGTCTTGGCTCCCTTCGAGTTCGTGTCCATGCCGGCCTTTGCCAACCGCCGCACGGAAATCAGGTTTGCAGCAAGGCTGGGCACCCAAAGCACGTTCTTGAGGCCCACCATCTTCCCATCAGCACCCTTGAACATGGCCTTGCCCATGCCTTTCACCTCTGCTCGCTGCCCCAAAGCCGATGTGACATGCTTCACCGGTGACGGCTCGAGTTCGGTGAGCAAGTCCGGGCGAGGTGTCATGCTATAGGTAGCGCCACTATCAATCACCCAATAGTCCAGGGGGTGTAGGGTCACCTTCCCCATAGTTGCTGGCTCCTCAAAGCCTTCATCCTTCTCTGGACCAGCCGGTACTTGCGTCGACACGAAGTAGAATAGACCCGGGTATCGATCGTCGCTCGGGTCCTTGTCGTTGTCTCCGCTCTTCATGTTTGCAGCTCCGCCACCGCGACCGCCACGGCCTCCACGGCCTCGTCCTCTCCCTCCTCCTGCTCCTCTACCCTCTTGGCCTTGAGCAGGGGTCCAACCATCAGGGAGTTTGTAGCAGTCGCGCCACATGTGTCCGCTCTTGTGGCAATAGTGACACTCGCCGTCGAATCGGCCGCGACCGCGTCCGTAGCTCTTGTCGTCGCTGCCGTAACCGCCACTCCTGCGGCCTCTGCCGAAGTTGCTGCCACCAAACCTTCCTCCCCCTCGTCCTCTGCCTCTTCCTCGACCATATCCATGGCCGATGCTCGCTGCCCCAGCGCCATCCGCACTCGCCAACTCACGGCGGCGGAAATCCTCTTGAAGGATAGCTCGCTTCACGTCTTCAAGCGAGAGGCGGGGCAAGTCGCGATTAAGGTTGATGATGAGCGAGGACCATGACTCTGGGAGTAAGGCCAGCAACTTGGTCTTCTTTTGGAGCTCACTGTAGTTCAAATCAGCTCCCTCAAGCCGCGTCAACAAGTCGAAGAATTTCTGCACCCCTTCTTCAACCGCTTCGTCTTCTTCAATTCGTAGTGCCGCCATTTGCCGTTCCAACACCACCGCTACCGCCGCTGTTGCAGGAGCATGTACACCCTTGAGAGCAGCCCATGCCTTTGGTCCTTTCTCTGGTTCACGCTGGAATGGCTTGATGTGACGGATCTGACTGCTCCCCAACGCTTGCCCAAGTAAGAGATAGCCTTGTGCGCTCTTCCGCACCCACGGGCTCTTCTCCGGGTCGTTCTCGGGGCGCTTCTCCGTTCCTTCCATCACCTCCAGCAGGTCATAGTGGTCAAAGATGTTCTCCATCTTGAAGGACCATTCAGCAAAGTTGTCACCGTTGAACTTGTCAAGCCCAAACACCCTAGGCTCATCCCTAGGTGGGCCAAGACTTGGTTGCATGGGCGCCATGGCTGAATCACGGGGTTGGCCTTGAGCTTGAGCTTCTCCACTGCCACCAGCACCTCTGCCATCCCTTTCCTCAGGTCCAGACATTGTCGAAACTGCTCCAAGGGCTCTGATACCACTTGTTATAGTCACAATAGGCTTGAATGTGCCTAAAATGAAAGATAGAGAGCACAGACGGATTTCTGCACAGCGGCTTCAAACGTTGATAGCGTTCTGCTCACAGATGCAAATGACTTGATTCAAATTGGATCTGGAGCGTCTTCACGTCGTCTACAATTAGCAATTTAGATTGCAAGATTTGATAAAGAATTGACGACACAGCGTCGGTTTGAACGAACGGTACTATGGCAGCCGCTATAGTCTTAGAACACAAGATAGGAAGAGTTACGAGTTGGGAATGACTCCCAGCTCCTACAAACTCCAAGAGCCGAGGTACAGTGATGTGGAACAGTGCCACACTGTCCCCAACCACGAAGGGTCTCGAAACTACCCTTCACTAGGGCCTACACCAAGTGAAATGTTACACTACACAAAGTAATGTAACTATCTTCAATATCTTGAGGTGTACCCTTTTGGCAAGCTTCGAAATCACTTGAGGCTTGACACCAAGGCTCGGGCTCTTCATCACAAACTCATCCTTGAGTTCTTGATGGGTCTTCTGCACACACCTGCGACACGCCAAACGTTTGACACAGGACAAAATAGAAACCGCGCACGACAAAATAGAAACTGCGCGCGAGACACAAACGACCGCGTAACACGCGTCTAGTGATAACTCGCTATTGACTCGACACACACACTCGACATCATGACTCAACATTCACACACAATTATAAGCATGAAATATATATTATCCCATGCCCTCATACCATTCCATACACACACACATTCACGCACACGGACAACAAGCCGAGTGCAAACCGTAGGGTTGCACCAACACTCTGAACTTGATTACGGGCCAATCCACTCCAACGGGCCCCAACTTTCAGTCGATCCAAGAATCGTCCAACCCCATCCCTGAGTGGATTTCAAAACTTTTCACCTTGGGTATTATGTGTTCTTGAACACAGTATTTGGCTACTGGCCAATTTACTCCAACCATCATGGGGGGGACACGACGTCCGCTTCAGCGTGCCACGAATGCCTCGAATGCCGCGAATGTCGCGAATTTCGCGAATGTCGCGTGGGAGCAGCCGAGCATCAAGCAGGCCGCTTTCGAATTGGACCGTCGAAGCCGCTCCAATCGACGCAATACCTGTGGTGCCGCTGCGGTTACTACCCCCGCTGCTACAGCCGCCGCTGTTGCTAATAACGCGGCTTTAGCCACTGAAGTCAGCGGTGGTGGTTCTACTACAAGTCGCAGGCGACGCGGCGGCGCTTATGGCGCGATTCTCGCTGCTTTGCTCCTTCTGGCCGTCGGATCGCGCTCGTGTGAAGGAGCAACAGACTCGGCTCAAGGTAGGGGCAGTGGTGTGTAGCAGTGGCAGTGGCTCTAATAATCGACTCGAAATTCGGACACGGCGCATGAGGACCCCTTGTGGGATCAGTGCTGTGCAGTGGAGCGTCGTGCCCGGGAGTGCTGTGCAGTGGAGCGTCGTGGCCGGGAGTGCTGTGCAGTGGAGCGTCGTGGCCGGGAGTGCTGTGCAGTGGAGCGTCGTGCCCGGGAGTGCTGTGCAGTGGAGCGTCGTGGCCGGGAGTGCTGTGCAGTGGAGCGTCGTGCCCGGGAGTGCTGTGCAGTGGAGCGTCGTGGCCGGGAGTGCTGTGCAGTGGAGCGTCGTGCCCGGGAGTGCTGTGCAGTGGAGCGTCGTGGCCGGGAGTGCTGTGCAGTGGAGCGTCGTGCCCGGGAGTGCTGTGCAGTGGAGCGTCGTGCCCGGGAGTGCTGTGCAGTGGAGCGTCGTGCCCGGGAGTGCTGTGCAGTGGAGCGTCGTGCCCGGGAGTGCTGTGCAGTGGAGGCGTCGTGGCCGGGAGTGCTGTGCAGGTGGAGCGTCGTGCCCGGGAGTGCTGTGCAGTGGAGCGTCGTGGCCGGGAGTGCTGTGCAGTGGAGCGTCGTGCCCGGGAGTGCTGTGCAGTGGAGCGTCGTGGCCGGGAGTGCTGTGCGGTGGTCCGTCGTGGCCGGGAACGGGAGTGCTGTGCTCATCTGCGTCTGACTTCCCGCTACCCCTGCTCCCCTGCGCCTGCTCCCTGCTCTCAGGCTCCTGCTCCCTTACTCCCCTGCTCCTGCTCCTTTACTCCCCTGCTCCTGCTCCTTTACTCCCCTGCTCCTGCTCCTTTACTCCCCTGCTCCTGCTCCTTTACTCCCCTGATCCTGCTCCTTACTCCCCTTGCTCCTGCTCCTTTACTCCCCTGCTCCTGCTCCTTTACTCCTGCCCCCCCCCCTCCTGCTCCTCTCTGCTCCTTTACTTCCCTGCTCCTCTCCTTTACTCCCCTGCTCCTGCTCCTTTACTCCCCTGCTCCTGCTCCTTTACTCCCCTGCTCCTGCTCCTTTACTCCCCTGCTCCTGCTCCTTTACTCCCCTGCTCCTGCTCCTTTACTCCCCTGCTCCTGCTCCTTTACTCCCGCTGCTCCTGCTCCTTTACTCCCCTGCTCCTGCTCCTTTACTCCCCTGCTCCTGCTCCTTTACTCCCCTGCTCCTGCTCCTTTACTCCCCTGCTCCTGCTCCTTTACTCCCCTGCTCCTGCTCCTTTACCTCCCCTGCTCCTGCTTCCTTTACTCCCCTGCTCCTGCTCCTTTACTCCCCTGCTCCTGCTCCTTTACTCCCTGCTCCTGCCTTTACTCCCTGCTCCTGCTCCTTTACTCCCCTGCTCCTGCTCCTTTACTCCCCTGCTCCTGCTCCTTTACTCCCTGCTCCTGCTCCTTTACTCCCCTAGCTCCTGCTCCTTTACTCCCCTGCTCCTGCTCCTTTACTCCCTGCCTCCCTGCTCCTTTACTCCCTGCTCCCTGCTCCTTTACTCCCCTGCTCCTGCTCCTTTACTCCCCTGCTCCTGCTCCTTTACTCCCCTGCTCCTGCTCCTTTACTCCCCTGCTCCTGCTCCTTTACTCCCCTGCTCCTGCTCCTTTACTCCCTGCTCCTGCTCCTTTACTCCCCTGCTCCTGCTCCGTTACCCTGCTCCTGCGCTTTACTCCCCTGCTCCTGCTCCTTTACTCCCCTGCTCCTGCTCCTTTACTCCCCTGCTCCTGCTCCTTACTCCCCTGCTCCTGCTCCTTTACTCCCTGCTCCTGCTCCTTTACTCCCTGCTCCTGCTCCTTACTCCCCTGCTCCTGCTCCTTACTCCCCTGCTCCTGCTCCCTTACTCCCCTGCTCCTGCTCCTTACTCCCTGCTCCTGCTCCCTTACTCCCCTGCTCCTGCTCCTTTACTCCCCTCCCCTGCTCCTGCTCCTTACTCCCCTGCTCCTGCTCCTTTACTCCCCTGCTCCTGCTCCTTTACTCCCCTGCTCCTGCTCCTTTACTCCCCTGCTCCTGCTCCTTTACTCCCCTGCTCCTGCTCCTTTACTCCCCTGCTCCTGCTCCTTTACTCCCCTGCTCCTGCTCCTACCTGCTCCTGCTCCTTTACTCCCCTGCTCCTGCTCCTTTACTCCCCTGCTCCTGCTCCTTTACTCCCCTGCTCCTGCTCCTTTACTCCCCTGCTCCTGCTCCTTTACTCCCCTGCTCCTGCTCCTTTACTCCCCTGCTCCTGCTCCTTTACTCCCCTGCTCCTGCTCCTTTACTCCCCTGCTCCTGCTCCTTTACTCCCCTGCTCCTGCTCCTTTACTCCCCTGCTCCTGCTCCTTTACTCCCCTGCTCCTGCTCCTTTACTCCCCTGCTCCTGCTCCTTTACTCCCCTGCTCCTGCTCCTTTACTCCCCTGCTCCTGCTCCTTTACTCCCCTGCTCCTGCTCCTTTACTCCCTGCTCCTGCTCCTTTACTCCCCTGCTCCTGCTCCTTTACTCCCCTGCTCCTGCTCCTTTACTCCCCTGCTCCTGCTCCTTTACTCCCCTGCTCCTGCTCCTTTACTCCCCTGCTCCTGCTCCTTTACTCCCCTGCTCCTGCTCCTTTACTCCACTGCTCCTGCTCCTTTACTCCCCTGCTCCTGCTCCTTTACTCCCCTGCTCCTGCTCCTTTACTCCCTGCTCCTGCTCCTTTACTCCCCTGCTCCTGCTCCTTTACTCCCCTGCTCCTGCTCTTTACTCCCCTGCTCCTGCTCCTTTACTCCCCTGCTCCTGCTCCTTTACTCCCCTGCTCCTGCTCCTTTACTCCCCTGCTCCTGCTCCTTTACTCCCCTGCTCCTGCTCCTTTACTCCCCTGCTCCTGCTCCTTTACTCCCCTGCTCCTGCTCCTTTACTCCCCTGCTCCTGCTCCTTTACTCCCCTGCTCCTGCTCCTTTACTCCCCTGCTCCTGCTCCTTTACTCCCCTGCTCCTGCTCCTTTACTCCCCTGCTCCTGCTCCTTTACTCCCCTGCTCCTGCTCCTTTACTCCCTGCTCCTGCTCCTTTACTCCCCTGCTCCTGCTCCTTTACTCCCCTGCTCCTGCTCCTTTACTCCCCTGCTCCTGCTCCTTTACTCCCCTGCTCCTGCTCCTTTACTCCCCTGCTCCTGCTCCTTTACTCCCCTGCTCCTGCTCCTTTACTCCCCTGCTCCTGCTCCTTTACTCCCCTGCTCCTGCTCCTTTACTCCCCTGCTCCTGCTCCTTTACTCCCCTGCTCCTGCTCCTTTACTCCCCTGCTCCTGCTTCCTTTACTCCCCTGCTCCTGCTCCTTTACTCCCCTGCTCCTGCTCCTTTACTCCCCTGCTCCTGCTCCTTTACTCCCCTGCTCCTGCTCCCTTACTCCCCTGCTCCTGCTCCTTTACTCCCCTGCTCCTGCTCCTTTACTCCCCTGCTCCTGCTCCTTTACTCCCCTGCTCCTGCTCCTTACTCCCCTGCTCCTGCTCCCTTACTCCCCTGCTCCTGCTCCCTTACTCCCCTGCTCCTGCTCCTTTACTCCCCTGCTCTGCTCCCTTACTCCCTGCTCCTGCTCCCTTACTCCCCTGCTCCTGCTCCTTTACTCCCCTGCTCCTGCTCCCTTACTCCCCTGCTCCTGCTCCCTTACTCCCCTGCTCCTGCTCCCTTACTCCCCTGCTCCTGCTCCTTACTCCTCCTGCTCCTGCTCCTTTACTCCCCTGCTCCTGCTCCCTTACTCCCCTGCTCCTGCTCCCTTACTCCCCTGCTCCTGCTCCTTTACTCCCCTGCTCCTGCTCCTTACTCCCCTGCTCCTGCTCCTTTACTCCCCTGCTCCTGCTCCTTTACTCCCCTGCTCCTGCTCCTTTACTCCCCTGCTCCTGCTCCTTTACTCCCCTGCTCCTGCTCCTTTACTCCCCTGCTCCTGCTCCTTTACTCCCCTGCTCCTGCTCCTTTACTCCCCTGCTCCTGCTCCTTTACTCCCCTGCTCCTGCTCCTTTACTCCCCTGCTCCTGCTCCTTTACTCCCTGCTCCTGCTCCTTTACTCCCCTGCTCCTGCTCCTTTACTCCCTGCTCCTGCTCCTTTACTCCCTGCTCCTGCTCCTTTACTCCCCTGCTCCTGCTCCTTTACTCCCCTGCTCCTGCTCCCTTACTCCCTGCTCCTGCTCCCTTACTCCCCTGCTCCTGCTCCTTTACTCCCCTGCTCCTGCTCCCTTACTCCCCTGCTCCTGCTCCCTTACTCCCCTGCTCCTGCTCCTTTACTCCCCTGCTCCTGCTCCTTACTCCCCTGCTCCTGCTCCCTTACTCCCCTGCTCCTGCTCCTTTACTCCCTGCTCCTGCTCCTTACTCCCCTGCTCCTGCTCCTTTACTCCCCTGCTCCTGCTCCTTTACTCCCCTGCTCCTGCTCCTTTACTCCCCTGCTCCTGCTCCTTTACTCCCCTGCTCCTGCTCCTTTACTCCCCTGCTCCTGCTCCTTACTCCCTGCTCCTGCTCCTTTACTCCCCTGCTCCTGCTCCTTTACTCCCCTGCTCCTGCTCCTTTACTCCCCTGCTCCTGCTCCTTTACTCCCTGCTCCTGCTCCTTTACTCCCCTGCTCCTGCTCCTTTACTCCCCTGCTCCTGCTCCTTTACTCCCTGCTCCTGCTCCTTTACTCCCCTGCTCCTGCTCCTTTACTCCCCTGCTCCTGCTCCTTTACTCCCCTGCTCCTGCTCCTTTACTCCCCTGCTCCTGCTCCTTTACTCCCCTGCTCCTGCTCCTTTACTCCCCTGCTCCTGCTCCTTTACTCCCCTGCTCCTGCTCCTTTAACTCCCCTGCTCCTGCTCCTTTACTCCCCTGCTCCTGCTCCTTTATTCCCCTGCTCCTGCTCCTTACTCCCCTGCTCCTGCTCCTTACTCCCCTGCTCCTGCTCCTTTACTCCCTGCTCCTGCTCCTTACTCCCCTGCTCCTGCTCCTTACTCCCTGCTCTGCTCCTTACTCCCCTGCTCCTGCTCCTTACTCCCCTGCTCCTGCTCCCTTACTCCCCTGCTCCTGCTCCCTTACTCCCCTGCTCCTGCTCCCTTACTCCCCTGCTCCTGCTCCCTTACTCCCCTGCTCCTGCTCCCTTACTCCCCTGCTCCTGCTCCCTTACTCCCCTGCTCCTGCTCCCTTACTCCCCTGCTCCTGCTCCTTTACTCCCCTGCTCCTGCTCCCTTAACTCCCCTGCTCCTGCTCCCTTACTCCCTGCTCCTGCTCCTTTACCTCCCTGCTCCTGCTCCTTTACTCCCCTGCTCCTGCTCCTTTACTCCCCTGCTCCTGCTCCTTTACTCCCTGCTCTGCTCCTTTACTCCCCTGCTCCTGCTCCTTTACTCCCCTGCTCCTGCTCCTTTACTCCCTGCTCCTGCTCCTTTACTCCCCTGCTCCTGCTCCTTACTCCCTGCTCCTGCTCCTTTACTCCCTAGCTCCTGCTCCTTACTCCCCTGCTCCTGCTCCTTTACTCCCTGCTCCTGCTCCCTTACTCCCCTGCTCCTGCTCCTTACTCCCCTGCTCCTGCTCCCTTACTCCCCTGCTCCTGCTCCCTTACTCCCCTGCTCCTGCTCCTTTACTCCCCTGCTCCTGCTCCCTTACTCCCCTGCTCCTGCTCCTTTACTCCCCTGCTCCTGCTCCTTTACTCCCCTGCTCCTGCTCCCTTACTCCCCTGCTCCTGCTCCCTTACTCCCCTGCTCCTGCTCCCTTTACTCCCCTGCTCCTGCTCCCTTACTCCCCTGCTCCTGCTCCTTTACTCCCTGCTCCTGCCCTTACTCCTGCTCCTGCTCTTACTCCCCTGCTCCTGCTCCTTTACTCCCCTGCTCCTGCTCCTTTACTCCCCTGCTCCTGCTCCTTTACTCCCCTGCTCCTGCTCCTTTACTCCCCTGCTCCTGCTCCTTTACTCCCCTGCTCCTCCTTACTCCCTGCTCCTGCTCCTTACTCCCCTGCTCCTGCTCCTTTACTCCCCTGCTCCTTCTCCTTTACTCCCCTGCTCCTGCTCCTTTACTCCCCTGCTCCTGCTCCTTTACTCCCCTGCTCCTGCTCCTTTACTCCCCTGCTCCTGCTCCTTTACTCCCCTGCTCCTGCTCCTTTACTCCCTGCTCCTGCTCCTTTACTCCCCTGCTCCTGCTCCTTTACTCCCCTGCTCCTGCTCCTTACTCCCCTGCTCCTGCTCCTTTACTCCCCTGCTCCTGCTCCTTTACTCCCCTGCTCCTGCTCCCTTACTCCCCTGCTCCTGCTCCTTTACTCCCCTGCTCCTGCTCCTTTACTCCCCTGATCCTGCTCCTTTACTCCCCTGCTCCTGCTCCCTTACTCCCCTGCTCCTGCTCCCTTACTCCCCTGCTCCTGCTCCTTACTCCCCTGCTCCTGCTCCCTTTGCCTTACTCCCCTGCTCCTGCTCCTTTACTCCCCTGCTCCTGCTCCTTTACTCCCCTGCTCCTGCTCCTTACTCCCCTGCTCCTGCTCCTTTACTCCCCTGCTCCTGCTCCTTTACTCCCCTGCTCCTGCTCCTTTACTCCCCTGCTCCTGCTCCTTTACTCCCCTGCTCCTGCTCCTTTACTCCCCTGCTCCTGCTTCCTTTACTCCCCTGCTCCTGCTCCTTTACTCCCCTGCTCCTGCTCCTTTACTCCCCTGCTCCTGCTCTTTACTCCCTGCTCCTGCTCCTTTAACTCCCCTGCTCCTGCTCCTTTACTCCCTGCTCCTGCTCCTTACTCCCCTGCTCCGCTCCTTTACTCCCCTGCTCCTGCTCCTTTACTCCCCTGCTCCTGCTCCTTTACTCCCCTGCTCCTGCTCCTTTACTCCCCTGCTCCTGCTCCTTTACTCCCCTGCTCCTGCTCCTTTACTCCCTGCTCCTGCTCCTTTACTCCCCTGCTCCTGCTCCTTTACCTCCCCTGCTCCTGCTCCTTTACTCCCCTGCTCCTGCTCCTTTACTCCCCTGCTCCTGCTCCTTTACTCCCCTGCTCCTGCTCCTTTACTCCCCTGCTCCTGCTCCTTTACTCCCCTGCTCCTGCTCCTTTACTCCCCTGCTCCTGCTCCTTTACTCCCCTGCTCCTGCTCCTTTACTCCTGCTCCTGCTCCTTTACTCCCCTGCTCCTGCTCCTTTACTCCCCTGCTCCTGCTCCTTTACTCCCCTGCTCCTGCTCCTTTACTCCCCTGCTCCTGCTCCTTTACTCCCCTGCTCCTGCTCCTTTACTCCCCTGCTCCTGCTCCTTTACTCCCCTGCTCCTGCTCCTTTACTCCCCTGCTCCTGCTCCTTTACTCCCCTGCTCCTGCTCCTTTACTCCCCTGCTCCTGCTCCTTTACTCCCCTGCTCCTGCTCCTTTACTCCCTGCTCTGCTCCTTTACTCCCCTGCTCCTGCTCCTTTACTCCCCTGCTCCTGCTCCTTTACTCCCCTGCTCCTGCTCCTTTACTCCCCTGCTCCTGCTCCTTTACTCCCCTGCTCCTGCTCTTACTCCCCTGCTCCTGCTCCCTTTACTCCCCTGCTCCTGCTCCTTACTCCCCTGCTCCTGCTCCTTTACTCCCCTGCTCCTGCTCCTTTACTCCCCTGCTCCTGCTCCTTTACTCCCTGCTCCTGCTCCTTTACTCCCCTGCTCCTGCCTCCCTTTACTCCCCTGCTCCTGCTCCTTTACTCCCCTGCTCCTGCTCCTTTACTCCCCTGCTCTGCTCCTTTACTCCCCTGCTCCTGCTCCTTTACTCCCCCTGCTCCTGCTCCTTTACTCCCCTGCTCCTGCTCCTTTACTCCCCTGCTCCTGCTCCCTTACTCCCCTGCCTCTGCTCCTTTACTCCCCTGCTCCTGCTCCTTACTCCCCTGCTCCCTGCTCCCTTACTCCCCTGCTCCTGCTCCCTTTACTCCCCTGCTCCTGCTCCTTTACTCCCCTTGCTTCCTGCTCCCTTACTCCCCTGCTCCTGCCTCCCTTTACTCCCCTGCTCCTGCTCCTTTACTCCCCTGCTCCTGCTCCCTTTACTCCCCTGCTCCTGCTCCTTTACTCCCTGCTCCTGCTCCTTACTCCCCTGCTCCTGCTCCTTTACTCCCCTGCTCCTGCCTCCTTTACTCCCCTGCTCCTGCTCCTTTACTCCCCTGCTCCTGCTCCTTTACTCCCCTGCTCCTGCTCCTTTTACTCCCCTGCTCCTGCTCCTTTACTCCCCTGCTCCTGCTCCTTTACTCCCCTGCTCCTGCTCCTTTACTCCCCTGCTCCTGCTCCTTTACTCCCCTGCTCCTGCTCCTTTACTCCCCTGCTCCTGCTCCTTTACTCCCCTGCTCCTGCTCCTTTACTCCCTGCTCCTGCTCCTTTACTCCCCTGCTCCTGCTCCTTTACTCCCCTGCTCCTGCTCCTTTACTCCCCTGCTCCTGCTCCTTTACTCCCCTGCTCCTGCTCCTTTACTCCCCTGCTCCTGCTCCTTTACTCCCCTGCTCCTGCTCCCTTTACTCCCCTGCTCCTGCTCCCTTTACTCCCCTGCTCCTGCTCCTTTACTCCCCTGCTCCTGCTCCCTTACTCCCCTGCTCCTGCTCCCTTACTCCCCTGCTCCTGCTCCTTTACTCCCCTGCTCCTGCTCCCTTACTCCCCTGCTCCTGCTCCCTTACTCCCCTGCTCCTGCTCCCTTACTCCCCTGCTCCTGCTCCTTACTCCCCTGCTCCTGCCCTTACTCCCCTGCTCCTGCTCCCCCTGCTCCTGCTCCCTTACTCCCCTGCTCCTGCTCCCTTACTCCCCTGCTCCTGCTCCTTTACTCCCCTGCTCCTGCTCCCTTACTCCCCTGCTCCTGCTCCCTTACTCCCCTGCTCCTGCTCCTTTACTCCCCTGCTCCTGCTCCCTTACTCCCCTGCTCCTGCTCCTTTACTCCCCTGCTCCTGCTCCTTTACTCCCCTGCTCCTGCTCCTTTACTCCCCTGCTCCTGCTCCTTTACTCCCCTGCTCCTGCTCCTTTACTCCCCTGCTCCTGCTCCTTTACTCCCCTGCTCCTGCTCCTTACTCCCCTGCTCCTGCTCCTTTAACTCCCCTGCTCCTGCTCCTTTACTCCCCTGCTCCTGCTCCTTTACTCCCCTGCTCCTGCTCCTTTACTCCCCTGCTCCTGCTCCTTTACTCCCCTGCTCCTGCTCCTTTACTCCCCTGCTCCTGCTCCTTTACTCCCCTGCTCCTGCTCCTTTACTCCCTGCTCCTGCTCCTTTACTCCCCTGCTCCTGCTCCTTTACTCCCCTGCTCCTGCTCCTTTACTCCCCTGCTCCTGCTCCTTTACTCCCCTGCTCCTGCTCCTTTACTCCCCTGCTCCTGCTCCTTTACTCCCCTGCTCCTGCTCCTTTACTCCCTGCTCCTGCTCTTACCCCTGCTCCTGCTCCTTTACTCCCCTGCTCCTGCTCCTTTACTCCCCTGCTCCTGCTCCTTTACTCCCCTGCTCCTGCTCCTTTACTCCCCTGCTCCTGCTCCTTTACTCCCCTGCTCCTGCTCCTTTACTCCCCTGCTCCTGCTCCTTTACTCCCCTGCTCCTGCTCCTTTACTCCCCTGCTCCTGCTCCTTTACTCCCTGCTCCTGCTCCTTTACTCCCTGCTCCTGCTCCTTTACTCCCCTGCTCCTGCTCCTTTACTCCCCTGCTCCTGCTCCTTTACTCCCCTGCTCCTGCTCCTTTACTCCCCTGCTCCTGCTCCTTTACTCCCCTGCTCCTGCTCCTTTACTCCCCTGCTCCTGCTCCTTTACTCCCCTGCTCCTGCTCCTTTACTCCCCTGCTCCTGCTCCTTTACTCCCCTGCTCCTGCTCCCTTACTCCCCTGCTCCTGCTCCTTTACTCCCCTGCTCCTGCTCCTTTACTCCCCTGCTCCTGCTCCTTTACTCCCCTGCTCCTGCTCCTTACTCCCCTGCTCCTGCTCCCTTACTCCCCTGCTCCTGCTCCTTTACTCCCCTGCTCCTGCTCCTTTACTCCCCTGCTCCTGCTCCTTTACTCCCCTGCTCCTGCTCCTTTACTCCCCTGCTCCTGCTCCCTTTACTCCCCTGCTCCTGCTCCTTTACTCCCCTGCTCCTGCTCCTTTACTCCCCTGCTCCTGCTCCTTTACTCCCCTGCTCCTGCTCCTTTACTCCCCTGCTCCTGCTCCTTTACTCCCCTGCTCCTGCTCCTTTACTCCCCCTGCTCCTGCTCCTTTACTCCCCTGCTCCTGCTCCTTTACTCCCCTGCTCCTGCTCCTTTACTCCCCTGCTCCTGCTCCTTTACTCCCCTGCTCCTGCTCCTTTACTCCCCTGCTCCTGCTCCTTTACTCCCCTGCTCCTGCTCCTTTACTCCCCTGCTCCTGCTCCTTTACTCCCCTGCTCCTGCTCCTTTACTCCCCTGCTCCTGCTCCTTTACTCCCCTGCTCCTGCTCCTTTACTCCCCTGCTCCTGCTCCTTTACTCCCCTGCTCCTGCTCCTTTACTCCCCTGCTCCTGCTCCTTTACTCCCCTGCTCCTGCTCCTTTAC